GGATGTGAGCAGCCGTTTCTTTGGTGGGAGCGTTGCGTGACATCCCAAAAAACGGCTGCGGAGGAGACTAGGGACGAGGGAACTCCCAGATAAAAAAGACGGGGGTTCTCTGTTAGTTTTAAGGGGTTAAAAGAGCGGTTTTGGTGCCTCTTAGGGTGTTCCGCCTCAAAAGGTCCACAGCAGGAGCTTTTGCAGTACCTTTTAGGGTATTGAACCGAAAAAATATGGCAGGAGGTAATGCTTTGTTTTAGAATTGGTATCTCTTAAGGGCGAAAAAAATTTCAAGCCACGCCCACAAAGCAGGATCTTGGTACCTCTTAGCGGTTCTTTTCAAAATTTCCGACGAACACCCCCGTCCTTTTATATGGGAGTTCCCCCCGGGGATCAAACGAGCCTGATACGCCGCTGAACCATACCAAAAACGGTACGATTAGCTATTTACCGTAACCAAATTCGGCCAAGTGTGCATGATATCGTAGCCATATCAGGTCATATCACTCACAGATGGTGTAGTGCATGCGCAAAACAAGACACAAATTTTCTGCTTACTGGGAGGTGACACGAAAAAAATGTAATAGGCACTGTAAACGTTTTCCAAAAGATGAATAACTTTAAAAAAAAGCGTGGTTACCTCTATAATTTACGTTATGAAATGGAAGTGGCAAGCCTATTCAACACCTGCATAGTTTCTAGTTGTGAGGAAAAGCTATTTAGACTGAAGAAGAGAAAGGCTGTCAGAGATGCTAAAAGCGCTGTTGCATCGATTTTGTTATTAAAGGAGGAAGAGTTTCCTGTAGTGCTTTTTATGATGCTCTCCATGAAAAACACTTCTCCCTCTTCGGCTCCCCTACAAATTAAATGTCCTATGTTTTCCTGGACTCATTCCCCAAAGGAATTGCTGATGTCCTTCGTAGGGCGGCGGAAGTGGGGGATAGTGGGTGTGAATAAGCCTGTGTGGCCGGCGTTCAAAAGTGAGGGAGAGGGGGAAACTAACCACGGAAATAAAAAAAGACCTGAATTTGTTCCTTCTCAAGTTAACATTTATCTTTAAACTATGGTTTCGCCGTCAAAGGCAGTTTGAGTACTGGATTGTGAAAATGACTATTTCAGAATTCCTCTCAAGTTATTTTTAGGCATGGTACCATGGTACGTTCTTTCGCGGACCATGTTACCATGAGCGTCGCGTGGATGTTTTCGTTGAATGTGAAGACGCTTGTAAGCTGCTTGAGCTATCCATGTGAGCAGAATCCGCGTCAATGGATCGGCTATTTCTAGACGTTTCTGGGAATTCAGAAACTGGCAGGGCTCAACAAATAACTTGAGTGGGATTCATCATCGTCAAAGCTCCCAGCTCTCCTCTGGGAGAATAGGGACATTGACTTGTCTCCTCCAATCTGCTGTCTCTCGCAACGGTGACAGCTTCATTCCAAGTGCATGGCAAATCCCATCTTTTGCCTCTCTCCCTCTACAGGGATTACCTTGGGAGGGGACAAACACTGTTACCCTCCATCCTCTCTTGTCTTGCCATATTTTTTAAGGTATAGGGTGATCAGATTCCTTTGCCAAAGAAATCCCTCTCGATCTATTCATTTTATTGAAAAAAGATGATTGCTTGACTCATAATGAGAAAAACTGATAGGACACTAAACTCTTTTTCACGAAAACTAGTGAGCTCAGCTGTAAAGAAAACGCTCCATTTTCTTACTGCACGGCCACTGATACGCAGTTTAACAAACTGACGTCAGTTTTACATGCGTCTGTCCTGTTATTCATTATAAATTTCATCACAACATTGTCAAAGTAGCTTTGGATCCACGAAGCGATAGCCTACTTTGACAGGGTTGTGACGAAATTCATTGTCAATAACGGGACAGACGCGGTGGCCTCATGGC